TCCCTGTGTGGGGTGCAGGGTGGAGCAGGGTGGGAAGCAGGAGCTTTTGCAGCCCTTTGGTACACCCTGCCGCATCCCTGCAACCTCCAGTCCTTAGGGGCTCCCACCCAGCACCCACAGCCAACGCCAGCATCCCACGAGCACCCCAAAAGGAGGGGACCACGTCAGGATGGGACCCCCAGTAACCAGAGCCGGTGGCGTCTCCTGGAGAAGGATGCTTTCGGCAGGCAAGTGGGATTTTGGGGATCTCAGCTGCTGCCATGGAGAATCCGAGGAAGCCTTTGGCCATCTCTCTGAGCATCAGGCTAGTGGCCGTGGCTCTTTGGCATGGGAAAACCCACTTGCCCGTGGCTGCGTAGGCAGAGCCTATGCCCAGCAGTCAATAGGATTTCAGGGTTGCACTGGGAACAGGTCGTCCCCCCTATCTGTGAACCCTCCTGGCGCCCTCATCCCAAACAGCAACGACCATTGGTCCCCCCGCGTCCCCGGGCGCGGGATCCCTCCGAGGCCACCGGCTTTTGCTTTCCCACTGGTTGCCCTCATTTTTGTAGATTTATTTTTTTCCCTGTAGACGTCCCTTCTAGGAACTCAGGGAAGATCGCTGCACTCAGCAGGACAAACCCTCCTCCTCTTTCCCAGGTGTAATTTTGGGACCTGTCTGGCCAGAAAAATCTGTTTTTTCCTCGCCACGGGGCAAGCACAGGGAGGAGCTGGGATGAGGCAGGAAAAGCACCTGAGCCAGTTCTCACCGGTGGTGGGGAAAAGGCTGATTTTTCCCCGGAGGCGTTCTCTCTTAATCTCTATTTTCAGCCAATTTCTGTCGTGCTGCTTCACTTTTGCCCTTGCAGTGAGACTTCATTGTCCAACCTCACACTCTCCCCTGACTACTTCTGCCCTCATTCCTCTCCGCGTGTCCCTCCAAGCCTGGTGGGACAGAGGTTGCTCACACAGTCAGATGATCAATGCCTCTCCATGCCGGTGGAGATGCGCTTTGCGGTTGCGTTGGTACAGCCAGTGGCTGCAGTTACTTCTGCTTTTGGGCAGGAGGGGCCGTACCCATCGACGTGTCCAGCCCGGGCTCAGCGCCGGCTCCGGCTTTTGTTTGATTTCACAAGAAAAGGGATTTTCCCAAAGCTCCCGCTCTCCTTACTGCTCCTGCTGCAGCCCCGTGAGCTTCGCCCTGGGTGAAGGCAGCGGGAGCAGTGGTGTAGAGGAGGTGACAGCCAAGACGTTGCTCAGCAGCTCCTGCAACCGCAGCTACAACCCTGTCCTGATTGCTTCACCAAGTCAGCAATTCTGAGGAAAAAAACGTGGGTTTTGTGCCCTGTGACTATGAGGAAGATCTCGCAGCTAGGAGACAACGAAACACACTGGGGACTGCCACGTCCAGAGGAAAAGCTGGTGTGGACAAGCAGAGGACAGGGTGTTCCCTGCGGCATGGCTCGCAGGGCGGTGAGCGGGAGGGAAGCAGAAGAAAGCAAAAGGCATCCAAGTGACTAAACTGTTCCCTGCGGCCACCTCTGCTGCCCAGGGGACAGCAGGAGCCCAGTTGCCCCCTTTTGGGATGCTCAGTATTTGCTGGAGCATCCCTCGTGCAGGGGGAGGAGGGCTGGAAAGGACCCCCCGAGACTCTCTGAGAGGCCGTGGGATGCTCTGGGATCCCAAGAGCACACGGCACCAGGGCAGTCCTGGTCAAGTCCAGGCTGGGCCAGTGTTCAGGGACACCAGGCAGTCCCTCGTCATGCTGGGGAGGCTGGATGCTCCCCCAGTGCCTGAGGCCACGGTGATGGGCAGGTGCCCAGCAGCACCTTGGTGTGCTAAGAGTTAAGCTGGAAGAGGGAGAGGAGACCTTTGTCCAGCGGCCCCGCACCTTATCTGCGCCGTGCCTGGGGAAAGCGCAGCTGGGGTGAAGTCAATACGGGAACCGGTTACAGAAACCATATGTTGGTCAGTGGCACAATCAATATTTCTGAGTAAGGCAGATATTTTCTTTTATTGCAAATGACAAGGCTGAGCCGCAAAGTTTACAACCAGATCTGAATTTTCCAGCGCTCTCAGACCCAACCCTGAAGTTTGCTCTGATTTGGGAAAGACTCAGTGGCCGTGAAGCCCGGCCCCGGCCGGGTAAAAATAACCCTCCCCGGTGCTTCCCTTTCTCACCGCCTTCCATGCGTGTCTCGGGATGCATCATGCCTGAGCCACGATTGCTCACGCTTTCTCCCACAGCCTTTGCGCTGTCAGCAAGTCCCATGCGCTGCAGTGACTCACGGGGAGCCCTGCAGCCCCCCGCAGCCCCCCGCAGCCCCCTGGACCCCCCAGACTGTGAAACCACAACCACGTTGTTTTTGCAAGTGCCTGGGGGATCAAAGCAAAATTCACTGGAAATCACCATATTTTTTTTTTTTCCCGGGAGTTTTGTGGCACAGAAAGAGCCCCAGGGTCTCCCCACTCTCCTTGTCACCTTCTCGGTTCCCAGCATCAGCTCAGGCTGCTGAAGCGACACGTTTTCCCGGGGAACTCGCTGCCCCCCCAGTCCCTGCCCGCAGCCATCGCCTGGGGCTCGGCGGGGAGCTCCGGGATGCCCACAGCCGCCTCCGGGGACTTTCTGCTGGACATGGGCTGTGTCCCCTTCTGCCCGGGTGGAAATCACAGCTAAGGACCACGGAGGCCGACCTGCCAGATCCAGCGTCTCCTGCACCACCAAGGCTCCGGTAGCGCCGAGCATCCAGCCCTGGCAGTGCCGTGGGTGCCCCGAGGCTTTTACCTCGCCGAGGAGGAGGGCAGTGTCCAGGGAAGGAGGATTTAATACTCGGGTGCATCCCAGCCAAGCTCTGCAGGGTTGCTGCTGTGCTAATCAACAGGAGCATGGCAGGTTTTGTTTTATTAAAGCTTTTATTGACCCGTGTTTAAAAAAAAAATAGAACCTGCGAAGCAGATCACAGAGCTGCTCAAGACATTTTTGTATTCTTTACGAAACAGCTTCCTGGCTTGGACCAAACCTCTGCTGGGCTCTTCGGCCGTGGTCCCCAGGTGTCTTCATCCCCGCCAGGGACACTGACGAAGTGAAGTCCCCTGCCCTGCCCGAGGGCAGCAGCCCGGTGGCTCCGTTCCCCTCCTGCCCCGCGGGGCGCTGCAGCCCTAAGGGACGGCGGGGGCCAACCCCACCCTGTTATTTCCACGGTCAAAGACGGAGTAAAACCGACGGATGAAAACATCGCCCAAAATCCAGAGGGGTCCGGCGGGGGGGGCGATGTCCATCCCCTGGAAGCCGCTGGTGCAGAAGGTCATGCCGTCGCTGGACTCCTGCGGAAGGAGAAGTGCAAAGGTGGGGATGAACCTGAGAGCCTGATGCATCTGCAGGCCCCATGCACGAAGCAGTGGGGCTCGTCACCTGCCGGGACATGCGGCTCAGCTCCCAGGGTGGCTCTGGGCCACCTTTGTCCCCGGAGCCGCTTTTCCAACCCAGCGGATGGGAATCGGGGGCAGTGGAGCCGGTGGAGCTGCAGCCGTACCATGAGGGTGTAGGCCTGGGCGCTGAGCGTGTAGGGGAGCCCGTTGATGGTGAAGGTCACGTCAGGCATCACGTTGAGGTTGCTGCACTCCACGGCGTACTGCGAAACAGCCGGGCAGCTCAGCGGCGCCACTCCACGGGACGTCCCTCCCGGCGGGGTGGGGGTCCCGGGGCTTTGCCCCCTCCTCTCCCCACCCTTCATCTCACCTCTCCGTCCACTGGCGTGGCACCAATAGAGCTCTGCAATTCTTTTATATCCTTGGTGGGACCCGTGATGAGCGACGTCCCGGTGTCCACGATGGCCTGGCAGCCGTTCACGCAGAAAGCCACTGTCCCACCCAGCTGGATGCTGGAGGAGGAGGAAAGAGAGGACCAGGAGGGTCTTGTCCTGCTCCCCTGCCCCAGCCCAGCCTTTCCCTCCCTGCCCAGCACCACTCACTTGTCCAGCTGGATCTGCCAGTACCCTTGTTGGGTGACTGGCACCCAGTTCAGGGTCCCCGTGAAGCGGGAGGGGTCAAAGCCACCAAAGAGCAGCTCTCCTCCCAGGGAGGATTCGGGGTTCCTGGAAGGAGGAGGAGAAGATGTGAGGGATTTTCTCCCTTTTACTTTGTGCATTGCATTTTAAATGGGTGGATTTATACACACTGTCTTCCCACAAATGCTTAGGGTGATTCACTTTATTCCTGTAGGGCCTCAGGTCTGTGATGCTCAGCATGGTACCAAAAAACCCCTTTACTGTCTCCATAGAACACCCTTATTCTAGCAGCCCCCCTCTAAAAACAATGACTGATTTTAAGCAACAGTCTGCAGCAAAGACATGTCCATACGTGCTCATATAGACCGAGAACATGGGCAGCTCCACCAGATTTTGTGCCATCATGTTGTCGAAGACGGGGGTGACCCCATCCACAGCCAGGGAGGGGTAAGCCAGCCCCAGGATCCCATCAAACTCGGCGTCCAGGAAGGCTTTTCCTGGCTCGCTGACGCTCTCGGCAAACTGCTGGTTGCTCACGGTGAGGCCCTCGACCTGCGGGGAGGAGGAGGCTCGATGGTGATGCTCAGTCTGTAGGCAAGTCCCAGCCACATTGTCCAGAGCAGGAGAAACCAAAGATGACTCACAACTACTTGGTCAGATCCGATGACCCCCGTCAAACTGCCGGTCCCATACTGGATGGAGAAGGGGGTCCCTATCGCCTGGTACGTGCTGGACTCTGACGGATGAAACTTGGCGTGCTCAGCTGGGGAAGGAGACGGGAGCTCTCACCAGAAATGCTATTTATCTGCATGGCGATAGATGCCAGGCGATAAAGGCTATTTATCTGCATGGTGATAGATGATAGAGGCCAGCGACAGACCTTGGAGCAAACCAGTGGGGCAACGTG